TAGAAAAAGATCAGATGTATTAAAAATCAAGCATTTTGATATCTGTCGGATAATGTACACGAACATGGTTAGTTACATGCTGACAATGATCCTTCGTGATATGATACTTGGCATCACTAGCAATGCTTTCCAAACATGCCATCCTCCAGTTTAGAATGGCAGGGTCCTTTTCTTCACATCAAGTGATGCAGCGATCATCAACCAGTCATCACCATTGTCGTACGCTCGTAGTATACTACACTTACGATCCATTACAGGATGCTACAGCACGTAAATAAGATGTAAATATCATAGTCATCGTATTTTTTGATCTACTTATATTGAAAGCAGTTTCGCAAAAGTTCATCACTTGTTTTTATATGCATATACGCTTAGGAAACTGCTTCGCAGCACTTTAAATTTGTGATTGCTGCGTTCCTCCTCTACTTCGAAAGCTACGCCTTTTGCTTCTTACCCCTCTGGCCCCCAAATTCACTCATCTAGTGCCTCTCGGAGCATCTGCTAGGAAACATGCAAAAGTTTATAAATATTAATCGACCCGCAAGCACAGTAACATCTGCGTCTTCTACAGTCAGGGTACGGACCTGAAACTTGTCCTAATTGATGAATGCAAATTACATAGAGATAAATAAGAATGCAGAGGATGTCGGTTGTCAACGTGGATCTTTCAAGAATGCTTCACACAAGAAGATCACGTGAGCTAATTATGTGAGAGTTCATGGAAAGAGTTAAAACACAGAAGATTACAGCTAAGCCGCAGCGGAGAGCAGCAAAATTCTTTTTAAGTGATCTGGGGAAGATGACTGGCGATCACGGAAAAATCATGGGGAGAAACACACTGACATACAATAAAATTGTTTTATGGTGAACTGTCCTAACTTAAGAATATGGACAGTCATCTTATTCTACCAATGGCATTCCCAAGAAAAGGTAGCCGACGATTGTGAAAATCTCAATAATCGCCTGTATGGTTACCGCGACCATACATTCACCGCCACCCTGGTGGCACATAAATCAGACATTTGATCCTTTGCCAGTGACCACATTCGGTTACTCTCGATGTCTTCCAGGCGCTCGACTGAGTTTGGGGGGCTACTGGGGGAAACCTATCCAGTTTTGATATTCCCCATGCTTTATCAATTGGATATGAAACTTTCTTTACAATCACTCAATATTTGTTCTTGTTGAGGAAGTTATTTTGAGAAAAACCTCAGTGAACTCCAGTATCCAATAAGGTTCCATGCTTTCTCTTTATTAATGAACTTCTATTTCATGTTTTATTGACGATTTCTTTGTACAGTGATCGCTGTATATAACACTCCCAAACGATTCCTATATGATCATCACTCGCGGTAATTTGTCACTCTGTGTGTGTTCACCCAATTAACATGACTATTATTATCACTTGAGACAATGAAGATTGAGTCATTTCCGAAGTCACAAAACCCACTTGCATCTCCACATATCCCAAACGTATTCCCCGAGCGCCGAAATCTGCAATACTTATATATGGTACGATCCATATCTACGCTTCTACTTGGCCTCTCCTTTTTCTCATTTTATATCTTGATCTCTTCATATTATTCAACTTGCATCGTATGTATCAAAGAGTAGATTTCTTACCTTTTCCACAGGAAACGATTTTTCTACTCCTTCCGGCATCCCATAGGCCCAAATACGTCCCACTGTGGAATAATGGAGCCATGTCTGGGGACGGGGCTTCATCTTGTTCCTTCTTTATCTTGGACCGCGTTCAGCGTAAGACCTTCCACCTTCTTGCGGATTCGCCCCTAATGTCACCTCTTTAACCGCTTGTCTATCACCATGAAATTGTCTCGCAGTCCTTTTTTCACCGTAATTAACAGCTCGATCCCGGGCAAAGGTGTTAAGTTACTTTGAAACCCGGTCGAATGGCAGAGTTCGAATAATTTTTCACCCTCAAGGACAACTGAATTGTGGAGCACTCCAATTTCTCTTTCCTCGCATTACTAACCTCTGCATATTCAAGCGTAGAATCAACAAGTGTTCACACGAATGTTCCTCCTGACAACTGCACACTAATCTTCAATGATTATATGGTTTACTCCTTTATCATTCATTATGTTTATCGTGTGGCTAAAGAATTAATGCATAAGAAGTAGGGAAATACAAGACATTTGTGTAAATCTGTATAAACGAGTTACGAATGAACCCTAAGTTGCAATCACTCAAAGCTGGCAAGACCTTAAAAGTACTGGAATAAACTTAAATTCTAGTGTCTATATATAACTCCGACTTGGGAAAAGTTGTGGTGCTAGAGCAATAATAATAGGGAACAGTTTACATACAATCATAATTATTAATGATTGAAAAATGCACCTACCAGTTGAAAACCTGAAGGGGTCCATTCGATTCATATCGCCACTAGACGCGGACAATGTAGCCGATTGGGACAGTGTGAGCGGTGTCGGAATTTGATTTTGAGACAACCCAATTGCTGCATGCATCACAGACGGAGGTAGCAATGTAGGGTTAGATAAACCAGAAACAGTTGCGGATGTAGCCATCATCATTGAAGCTAGACTGGCCGGTGTCGATAAAGAACTTGCTGAATTCGGATCACCTTGTGATAGTTGTGGAGATTGTGATACCGAAGGGTGAGATAAACTGGGGCCAGATGGAGTTTTGTTGGTGCTATGGGTCTGAGATCCATTTGGTGGAATTATCGATTGGGGTATCTGATCCGGATGCATCGGAGATTTTCCGAAACATGACTGGTTCATATAGGAGCGCAGCATTTCCATTACTGCTGGATTATTCATTGAATGTGTTGAACCCAGAGCACTGCTCATAGCTGCAGCAGCCATAAGGAAGTCTGGTAACCCAAGTGCACCAGCAACAGACGAGTCCAGCATACTGGATACTGTATTATTTTCTGCTAACACCGGACCAGGGACACCACCTAGAGTATCGCTGGTCGAAGGGGAAGTGACTGTTTGTGTTGTGTTATTTGCCAAATTTGTATTCCCGTATTGGTGACCCGAGGGGTAGCCACTAGAAATGCTATTTGGTGACAACGGATTCATACCGGGCTGAAATGGCATTCCATTCATCCATAAACCCGGCCCCAGTGGGTAGCGAGTGGAAGAGGAATCCGTTTGAGTTGAGTCCTTTTCGGAGAGGTAAGAATTAACAACTCGTGATTCGCCGGCATTATTTGATGGATGAAAAGACCACAAATCTGTTGGTACAGTAAACAACGAGCTGTTCGAAGGATCCACCCGAGTCGTGTTAGGGAGTGGGCCAGCGAAAGAGGATGACGGAGGAAACATTGTCAAATTGCTCCCTAGATGTGGTACTGATCCGACTGGAACCGAGGGACCTGTATGACTGATATCAAAAGATCGCAGTGTACCACCCCCGGACGATGTCAGTTGAGATGCGCATTCGGCAAGATCCTTGTGCCCAGAACGGCTGTGAAAATGACGGCTTGTATTAAGTTGGTGCTGGTGTTGATCTAATTCATTCGGTTTGTAACAAGAAGAACCCAAAGATGAAGTCAAATTGGCAACTCGACTAGCATTTCCGAACGAAGTGGTGCGTGGAAGCTTTCCCGATTCGGTGCTTCGATTGTTAGAATTATTTCTTTTTGTTTGGTGCGAATGAGACTGATGACCCGGGCTGTTGTTGGTTGAGCTGCTCACACGACTACTTTGGGTTGTTTCAACTTTGTCTGACAGAGGACCGTGTGGGATAGATACGGTGTGTGCAGTGACCGTGCGCGTGTTCGGTCCAGATGAGGATTGCTCATGCGTAATCGTACCCACGGTACCCGCGGAGCGGCAAAATGAAGCACTGCAACCACCACCACCACCACTACGATACACGTCTCCACCCCCTAAAAGAAATGTGTGTATTGGATCCGATTTCTGTATTGATTCATACGGTCCCATTTGGTGCATTTCGGAAGGAAGCAGGCCGTCTGATTCTTCCGATGTAGGACGACGTGAATCTGACAGATGTGGTCCAGGGATCGGAGGAACTACTGCACGGGATTGGGTGGGTGTGACACTAAGGTTGATAGTGCGCGGGGATGGACTTGATGGAACTGAGGTAAAAGGTTGAGATGAAGAAGTCGATGCTGTTGGTTCATTTGACAGTAAATCGTTTGCCTTGGATTTTACCGTATTTGTACTGAGTTGCGTCTCCACTCCCGTATGACGTTTTGGGCCGGTATGCGGAGTATTGTTCAGATGGAATCGAAGAGCTGTCATATGAGTGAAACGTTTTTTACATCCAACCAAAGGGCAAGTGATGGGATAGGAGGTGATAATATCATCATCCACCTCATCCTCATTGCTATCCGAATGATTCGGATCCAACTGATTAACATTTATGGTGCTGGAAATAGACCCGGTCGGTTGAGAAACCAAATCACTACTACTGATAAGTCGCGGAGGAGGAGGTGAGTGATCGAGTTCTTTCGATAAAACGCCATCAACTAAGCATCCTGCTGCGTCAGCATTGCAGGAATCACGACTTGCATTATCCCTAACTTCGGCAACGAACAGATGATCATCTGATGACGAATTATTAGCTTTCGCCTTGACCACACTTGTGACGGGGGTACAGCAATCTTCATCGGAACCCGGTGGAATAGATTGTCCAGAATGCTCATCTATTTCTTCGGTATCCAACTTCGTTGGCAAACAACTAGGAGCGCTGTTCTCGGAGGCGTTGCAAGCGGGAGCTGAATCGAGAGTCGGTTCGGCGTTAGAACTACGGGATATGGGATTGCCATCGGAAACCTCCGTTGCAATGCCTTTGACATGACTTGCAGGGGAATTCGTGTTACGACCTCGCAAACGTTGCCGGTGTGATCCGCTAGTAGAGGTTCGAATATCTGTGTTGTTGTGCGCTGAACCATTGACAAAAGGAACCGTTGATGAGTATGGAGTGGTGCCATGCTTAAAATTTGAATTAGCTGTGGCTGGACGTCTCTTTGCCCGGCTGCTAGACCGCACCGAAGATTTGATCGGAGAGACATAGTCCCGTGGGCTGAAGTCACAGAGACAAAATGATAAAATAAAGGATTAAACAGATGAAGTCGTACAGAAGCAGTCAATAAGTAATAAATCAATCAAGTACTAAATTTATACGATGGCAGTCAAGATACTTAAGGTTGACTTGGAAACGGGATGATCTACAATAAGTAAACTATATTGACTTTAGTACTTACCATGGTGGTGCGAAATCATGCTGGGTAGCATCCAGCAATGTCCCTATGTATGTTCTGCCTCTCCAAGTTACATTGACAACAAGTACACCTGTGGATTGTAAAAGAAAAGAAAAAAATGGGGGACTTATTTTGCACTGTAACTGAATTTGTTTACCTAAGCACACCATCGCGTCAAACTAAGTAAGCTAATAAAAAGCGGTATGAAACATAATGAAAACGAAAGCGAGTATGAAAAATGAACTTTCTTCGATGATGCATCAGTAAGTTAGTGCAACCATGCATGGCTTCTTGATAGCCCATTTTTCTGATTTCTTGTTTACAACGTACGTATGCGTATTTTCGGTTAGGATCCTTGTTTTGTAGATCCAATCATTAACTACTCTCTAAGTAACAAGTAGTTAGGATCGGAACGTTGTCGATCAAGTTCACAGTGAGGTCAAAACAGATTTATAGTCCATCTCATCTTTTCAAATCACGTTTCTTTTGCTTTGCATCCAATGAAAATCACCGTGAAATCGAATTAATAAGCGCTCTTACAGAGGAATGGGCGAATACTGACCAAAAACCATAAAAGATTTCGTAGGGAGTAGGCGGAGACGATTAGGTGAGGTCCTCAAGCAGAATGATGATTGAAAGACTACAAAAACCAGTGCTGAGGGTTTTTTTATACTTTTGTTGCTCCCTCTCCTTAAAAATTTCTGGTCTGATTAGAAACTAGTTTCGTTTTTAAATTTGCTATGTTACATCAGATCATGCACTTGGTTGTGCCGATGAGATATGGTTTCGTAAGACCATACAAAAGTGAAACACAGGGGAAAAGGAAGAATTCTTGAACTTTTGTCTCGAACTGTATGTGCAAACAAGGCGGATCGCGATGATGTCATTCAATGGAGTGCGCGTCAACAATTTGAATCTAATCAGATGACGCTTGATTAATGAGGCCAGTTTGGAATTTCCGCATCTGCTCCGCCTTTCAAATGTCAGACAATCGATCTGTTCGAGCGGTATAGATTGAATTGTAACTGCGATGAAATGCGTGCTGTAATGACAAGCGGAATATACAGGGCTATAAACATCGAACAAATGTAAAAAGTCCCTTCCCATTCCAATTTGTGTTAGGCTTCGTAGAGTTATGCCGTTTGTTAGGATATCTTATGGAACAGATTTTGTTCACATCTTTTCAACCGGATGCGGAACCATTTACTACCGGAGCAGTTCGTACGCCAGAAAAGGGTGTACATCAGTATGAAATCGAAACCAACAACTCATCACATTGGTTACACAAACCACAAAGAGAATTTTGATGAAAAAGAAGAGAAATAATACTTATTCATTGATATGGTTCGCTTTGGGCGTTATACTTTATATATATATATATATATATATATATATATATATATATATATATATATATATATATATATATAT